CGGGAGCACTAGTAAAAGTCGGACATGATACTCCGTGTTGTGTGAGAATGGCAGCCAGCGGCTCAGTGTACTAATCATAGTAATTGGACATCAAGCCTCGTGCCATTCAGACACGCATGAAGAGGGCCAGAGCTGGGAATAGCCATGTAGTTTAGGAAATCATTGTACCTGTGAGGGCCGTAGCTTAGAATGCCCAAATGCACTAGGCAATCCCTTGTATTAAATCAGTGTGTACCATAGACAGATGGTTAGGGCTGCGAATAGGGTGAGACAATGGGTCGCTTGGGGTGCGACGGGAACCAAGGAGGCACACGGGGAAGCAAGGGGACCAATGGGGACACCAAAGGGCACAGCACGCTGACAAAGGGGTTATGTAAACACCAAGTAATAATCATGTTAGCGGCCGCTCGGCTGGCCAGCCGACGGCCTATATAAACAGGGCACCCAAGTGCCCAAATTGTAATCCAAAATTGCCGCCACACTTCAGAGCCGTTTGCCGCTGCCTTGCCACCTTCCTCACGGGTACTCGCAGCCGTCCACGAGCCCGTCGCTCAGGACTTTCAGTCGCTGCCACACGGGACAAACAATTTCGCCGAGCAAAACTGCCTCCGGCAGTTTTGCCCCTTACACCCTTGCAAGTTGAAAGACCACTTCTTTTACAGTAGACCTTGACAAGATCTCTACACTTCTAGAGGAGTATAAAGACCTCTTCTTTAAGGAACTACCCGCATGCCTTCCTCCAGATCGAGGGGTCGCTTTGACCATTTCTTTAGAGGAAGGTACTAAGCCAGTAAAGCGACCAACTTTCCGGTACAGTCCAAAAGAGATGGACGAGATTAAAGAGCAAGTATATTATCTTCTATGGAAAGGTCTCATCATAGAGAGCATTAGCACATTTGGGCCCCGGTACTCTTTGTACCTAAGCCCAATGGCAGCCTCCCGATGTGTATTGATTACAAGGCACTAAATAAGGCCACCATTTAAAAAAATGGCCTATGCTGAAGATAGATATATTGTTGGATCAACTGCAAGGGGCTAAAGTCTTATCAACCATTGACTTGCAGCAGGGGTACTATCAACTTTGTATTGACAAGGCCGACTATGCCAGAACAACATTTGTAACCCCATTAAGCCTATAAGAGTTCAAGGTTCTTCCGTTTGGACTTTCAAATGCTCCAACGATATTTCAGCAAACGATGCACTATATCTTTGGTGACCAGATTGGCAAACACGTCCTGGTGTATTTGGACAATATACTTGTGCTTAGTCAAATTACTAAGGTGCACTTACAGCACCTTAAACAAGTGTTAGAGGTGTTGCAGCAACAGAAATTATATTACCGACTACATAAGTGTCAGTTTAACAAAGAGGAGATCTCCTATCTGGGACTTACTATGTCTGAAGAAGGTATTCGGCCAGACCCGGAAGGGATTGAAAAGGTGAAGAATTGGACTTCACCGTAGTGTGTGAAGCACATTCAGTAGTTTGTTGGGCTGGCAAACTATATTTGAAAGTTCATTCAGGGTTATTCGAAGATGGCCACTTCCTTGACGGACTTGACCGAGAAGAATGGCAAATGGGAATGGACCATAGAATGTCAGTCAATATTTGAGTATATAAAGGAGTGTTTGATCGCAACTCTATTGCTCAAAATGCTAGATCCCAACAGACCATTTGAGGTCATTGTAGATGCATCCCAAATTGCTGTGGGAGCAGTCCTTAGGCAGGACAACCATCCAGTTTGTTACGCAGGTAAAAAAATCCTTCTTGCGGAGTTGAACTATAGCGTGGCAAACTAGGAGGCATTGGCTTCCGTGCATGCCATCCAGTTATGGCAATGTTACCTGGAAGGTACACATTTCAAACTGGTGATGGATCATTGCCCGTTGACTTATCTCAAGTCACAGCCACAATTAAGCAGGCGACAAGCCAGATGGTCTGAAATATTGCAATAATTTTACTTTGATTGGGAATACTGCCCAGGGCGAAAGAACGTGGCTGATCCACTCTCTTGTATTCCTCCAATGCACGGTGAACAAGAAGCTAAGAGGAAAAGCCAACTGGTTGTTTGTGGCTTAAGGGTATTACACAAATAGGGTAAAGATAAAAAGGCAAAAAGATAGTAGAGGCAGAAGACTTAGCCTCAGGGATCCGTTAGTCTTACCGCCTAGACCCCCAGCTTGAGTCTGTGAAACAACAGCAAGAATTGCATTGTACAAACGGCCTCTGTTGTGAGGCGAGCAGTTATATATGCCAACAAGTCTAAGGACTGAAATCTGCCAGCTGGCTCATGACCATCCAAGTGCGGGACACTTTGGTTAAGCCAAAAGCCTAGACTTAGTCCAGTGGTATTACTGGTGGCCAGGAATATGGCGAGAGGTGCAACTATATGTTGACACATGCCTGGTTTATCAATAGGCTAAATATTCTTGTCAAAAGACCCCAGGCTTGTTACAACCATTGGGGATTCCTGAGAAGCCATGGACTAAATTGTCTATAGACTTCATAACCCAACTGCCAAAAACTAAGGGTGGTTATAATGCTATCATCATATTTATCGATAGGTTGACCAAGATGGTGCGCATTGCAGCCACCACAAATGAAGTCTCCGCAGAAGGAGCAGCAGACCTCGTTGTGCAGAATGTAATATAGCACCACAATCTCCCCTCTATGATAGTGTCCAACAGATATGTTCGGCTCACTTCCCGGTTTTACCGGTACCTGGCAGAGAGGTAGAAAGTGCAACTCAATATGAGCATTGTGTACCATCCTCAGACGGATGGCCAAACCAAAGTCATGAATTGGATTATGGAGGACTACTTACGCAAGTATATGCATGCTAATCAAGACGCATAGGATGAACTGATAGCCATGGTCAAGTTTGCAATGAACAACTCAAAAAGCAATTCAACCCAGAGATCCCGTTCTATTTGAACCACGGTCGATACCCACAGAGCCCCTTAGCTCTCGGGGTGCAAATTTGGAAGCCGTTGAAAGGCTATGATAATCCAAATGCCTATGGCTTAGTAGTGGCCATTGATAGGGTACAACAACCTCACCTAAGGCACAATGGTACTCCCCTCATGGAGGGATTACTAGCAGTGACACGAGTTGATCAGTGTATCCAATCAGCACTGAAGAGGCCAAAGCGTGCTTACAGAAAGCACGGAACACACAATCAAAGCATGTTGACTACCATCAGAGGGATGTGTCATTTGACAAAGGAGATAATGTACTCCTTTCGATATAGCATATTACCCTTAAGCACCCTGGAACTCGAAAATTACTACTGAGGTGGATTGGGCCTTTCACTGTCCTTGACCAGATAGGTTCTATCGCATATCGACTAGAACTTCCGGAAAGATGAGTAAGATACATCCGGTTTTCCATGTATCAAAACTCAAGCCTTATAAAGCTAGTGGCAAAGTACAGCCACCCCCAGTCCCTGTCGAGATCGAAGGGGAACTGGAGTATGAGGTCGAGCGCATCCTTGATAAAAGGAATAAAAAATGAGGCCATAAACAAGACTTTGTAGAGTACCTTGTCAAATGGCTGGGTTACGGTCATGAACATAACAGCTGGGAATGAGCAAAAGCAGTTGCCAATGCACAGGAATTAGTTCAAGGATTCGAGAATAACAAAACCCCTGTTGCGAATGTGCAAATTGGTCACAGTATGAGATGTACACACTGATGTGAGCATATATGTGCTTTGTATGTGGCAGGCAATACTGCGGTGGGCGTAGAAGAACACCAGTTATCAAGGGAGCCGGTCCCACTCGCAGTTTGGACATATGAATGCTATGTCCATTGCAATTATGAATGGTGAGAGAGTCCAGAGTGACGGCCCACTGGTGACTACCTCTAGCCGTAGGCGTGGTCGAGGCTGCCACCCCAGCTACGCCCCACGTGGATGTGGTCGCGCATGAATGGCCGGGGGTGGTCGTATGGGGGGACGTGTAGGTGATCCCTGCATATATTTTTTGGACTTGAGCAGGTGGAGAGGCCATAGATAGAATTTGTACATTATAGATTAGAAACGATTTTTCCAGCCCGTAAGTTGAAGGAAGAGTTTTAATGAGGGTTGTTAGCAGGAACACTTTCCATGTAGCAACCACTCTTTCTTTTCAGCGTTTCTTCCATGTTTATCCAAAGTGGTTTACTCGGCATGTTACGAGATGCACAACTAATTTGCACATACAATAGGTTCACGAGCCAAGCATGTGTCTACTCCCATATCAACGCACTGGGACGGGGACGTCCCACTTCCCTGAGGGGGACGAATGTTACGCACACTGGCCTGATGTGGGGGACGCCCTATTGATTGTCTTTTGGCAGGGGGGACGCCCTGCCCAAGATATGATAACAACGCTCCAACCATATTATACGATATTATGTGATATGGAAGTAGGTTGGGGAGGTCCCGCCTAGGTCCGCGTAAGGACTTAAATACCCGGCGAGGTGGGTCCGTGGCTCAAAGAGGGCAGGAGCCCCACACCCACAATATTTGCGTATCATTATCCCAATTGGCATGCCTCACTTGTCTTCCTATGTACAATGTTAAGATATCGCCAGATCCATCAGGCATTGCGAGCATGGCAGTCATTACCGGCTTGTCACATCCTTTAATCAAGGGCTCATATGCGAAATGTGATTGCATGGGGCGCAATCGCACGATGCCGTAAAATATTCCACCCTTCCGCTTTAGAAGAAAATTTACCTTGACGCATTTTGCTCCGCATTCTGTTTTCAGAGGGTTGTTTTATTTTCTTACGTTGCTCCGCACAAATGACCAAGCGTTGCGTTACGATTTATTAATTTGTCTCCACGAAAAAGGCCAAGCGTACGTCACTACGCGGAAGGGCAAATTCGAACACAAAAAGTCCGCAAAATCGAACAAAGGCAGCTTTTGGGTCTGCGATTGCCAGAGCCAGGCGCCACCAGCTGCAGCCCAGCCTCCCAAGTCGACTCAGCCACCCCGCCAGCCCCGAAACGGGAGCGATGCCGCGAGACCGGTCGCCCCGCCGGCGCTCCCGGTCCAACGAGCGCGACAGGCGCCGGTCCCCGTCGCGATCGAGGGAAAAATACAGGGATGTAGGAAGGTCGAGGATGCACAGGCGGGACCGCTCGCGCTCGCCTCGCGACAGATACCGAGGCAGGTCAAGATCCCAGGAGCGGGGAGACGGCAGGCGGAGGAGCCAAAGGTGGGCGCTGGCCTCCTGCTTCCCGCGCCTCTCAGGCGCCGATCTCCGAAGGCCGCCGGCCGTCCAAGGGGGTTGTAGGGTGCCCGCTGGGCATCGCGCACGGCCTGAAAACTCTGCGCGCCGCTGGCTGGGAGGATCGGGTTCTGCGCGGACCGGCGAAGATGCGCTAGTCGTTGCTTGGCTCGCTTCTCAAGGGTCAGCCGCGACGGGATCTGCCTGGAACCCGGTTGCCTACGTGCTGCTGGGGGCACCCCCCCGTGCGGCTCTGCTGCGGCGGTCTCCGGCAAGGCCCGGCGCGGCGGTCTGAGCGCGATGGGTCCCGCGCCCTGGGCTTTGAGCTGCTGCTCCTCCTCTCAGTATTGTGCCCAGTCGCGCTTCTAACTCGGCTTTCTGTGTTTGTGCCTTCCCAAAGCCCTGGTGGTGGCCGGCCGAGAAAGTCGGCCTTCAGCGAGGCGTCGTCTGCCGCCCAGGTGTGCTGGATTTCCCTTTGCAACATCCCCGGCTCTGTGGGTCGCTGAGCGTTCAGTGGTCTGTTTGAGCCCACAACCCAGACAGCCTGTGAGAATTTCCTCTATTTCAAAATCGCTGTTTTCAGTTGGCAATAGTCTAAAGCGCTTTGTGGGAGAGGAGGTACACCGCTGTGTATCGTGCTCCTCCTTTGAGCAACAATTGCTTTGGGTTACAGCACAGGCTGGAGTTCTGACTGCTGTGTGGCCATTTTATCTCATTCAGAAGCTTTTGGCGACTGAGGAAGTTGTTTTGATGGTTTGAACAGGCACAAGCCCTCCAGCAGCTTCAGCAGCAGCAGTTGCAGCGCCAGCTCCTGGCTCAGCAGCTGTTGCTGCAACAGCAGGCACTGACTGGCACTAATGCCATGATTGCTAACAAGAAACAGAGGGAGGTGTATGTAGGGAATTTGACCATCGGGGTGGTCACAGCGGACATGCTGAGAGAGTTGTTTAATGGAGCGCTCTCCTCTTTGGTCCCAGACCCTGTCACCAACCCCCCCGTTGTGAATGTTGCCATGGATGCGTCAGGTGGGTGTTGTACAGCATTGCTTCTTTGCTGCTGAAATTGCTGCAGTTGAAAACATGGCACTCTGACCATCTATACCCCACAGCCCTGAGCTGAGCTGCTGTGGCTTAGTGTCATTGGTGTGTCTGTGATGTTGTACTTGCCGATAAGTGCAGTGGTTGAGAAGATGCATTTGTGTTTCATTGGAGGTTCCCAAGTGATCATTTTGAAGGTGTGCAGCATGTTGCATCTTCCATTGACGTATCTGCAAAGCCTGCTGTAAATGGAGCAATTTTACTGATATGACTAAATGTAAATGGAAGATGCCCTCATGAAGCTACAAAATCTTACGATGAGTAACACCATGCATGTTCATGTGCAGCAAGCTCTGTGCAGCAACTGGTATGAAAGGCGGAGAATTGGGTTCAAGGAGACTTGTACATTTGAGCATCTGCCTTATCCGAGTGTTCCTTGTGTACTGCCAGGGCGGTTTGGCTTTGTTGAGATGAGAACAGAGGAACTGGCAACGGCAGCCATGCAGCTGGACAAGGTGGAGCTGTGTGGCCGCCATATTAATGTTGGTCGACCCAAGGGGTATGTGGAGCCACCCTCCAATCCAGCTTCGCAGGCAAAGCTGGGCCTGGCACAGATGTTTGCTGCCACGCTCAACTGTGGTCCAACCACCACTGTTCTGTTGGAGAACATGATGCTGGTTGAGGCTGTACGGAAGGATGCTGCAAGAGTTGAGGTAAACTCAATGATGCTTACAATGATGAGCTTGATTTGCCTGCATTCTTCTTACACTGGAGGTTGTGCATGGGCATGCTGGGTTGCCCACAGAGTTGTTTGTTTGAGGCAAACCTTGTACTCCAGCCCTTCTGCTGCGTTCTGTACCATGCCTTGTTAGTGGCAACTTGCAGATGAGCTAGACACGTGCATGGAATGCTTCTGGCAAGTTTGGCTCACTCCACAGAACTGGATTGGTGGCTTTCTTTGTAAACCTTCCCGCTGTAAGTTTCTTGGGTGCTGACCTGAAGCTTCCCTGTTGTACAGCTGGTGGAGGATGTTCGGGATGAGGCCCGCAAGTGCGGCACCGTCCTGGGGGTTGTTTGCCCCGTCCCACCACCCACAGTGCTGGGTGGGGATGGCTGTCGCATATACGTGAAGTTTCTGACTGTGGAGGAGGCCAAGCGGTGCAAAGATGTCATGGATGGACGGCAGTTTGATGGCAACAAGATCAAGGCTGCCTTTGTTCCAGAAGCAGAGTACCATCGGGCGGAGGCGGGCGAGTGGGTATCCCATCAGCAACAACAGGCTGCCCCTGCAAATGCTGGGAACCCAACTGCTGGAACTGCGGGTATGTTCACCGGGGTTCCTGGCCTGCAGTCGCTGCTGCAGCAGCGGTAATTGCCTGGGCTCATGGTTGATGCGCAAGGTTCGTTGCGCACTGCCTGTTGACGCTCTGATTGTCACCTTGCCGCAGCCCTGGGCTGTTGGTGTTTTGAATGGATGGAGAGGATTCTTGGTGTTCTTCCAGACTGTTCTGTGAGCGTTCCCATTGTGGCTGCTTGGGTGTGGACCTGGAATGCAGAGCGGTTCATAGTGGACGCACGGAGCGCAGGTTTGAGTGTTTGCCATGGACAGGGAGGCACCCGCATATTTGTATGAAGCATGGCATTGTGCTAGGTTTCTATTTCCACTTGGGGGAAAGAAGGGAGGGGGGTGGGGGGTGGTTTTGCACTGCAGTGTTCTGCAAAGTCGATGGACTGCATACCATATGGTTCGTGTTTTAAGACATGCTTGAGATGTCCCTTGTGATATTGCTGGACTTTGCTGGATCATTCTGCATGTGGGAAGCTGCACATAGGCATGTGCATATGCACATATGCACCTTATGCACGGTCATATATCATTTTGCCTTCAGCTGTTGCAGTCCAGCTGCAAACTTTCGTGCCCCTTTGTCAACACGTCCCACCGCACATTACTGAGTCTGTGTTTGTGCCTGTGCTGTGCTGTGCTTGTGTTGTGCCTGTGTCCTGTGTTTAGTGCAAATGGCCCCTCCTTAAGAAACAAGATGCGGCAAACCTCCAATGGGAATTTGAGTTGGTGAGACGTCCCTATCCTTAATCGATTCCTTCCAGGCTGGTGTACTATTTTGATGCACCGGACCCATTGCCCAATGCGTCATGGGCCCCCGCTTTGATCTGCCTGTGATGGTGGCTGGCAAGACTCTTGAAGTGGCACAATGTGCCAGGTAGGTTGAACTTTGACGTGTTGACCTGCTGTGGAGTCTGACAGTGTCCCGGCCTGAGGCTCACTAATAGTCTTGCACCAGGCCCTCAGGCAGCTCTACGCGCCAGCAGGTACAAGTGACATTGCATTTCTCATGAACAGCAGCAGCTACTCTTTCACTGTTTGTTTCTGCTGCACTCTTTGCATGACTGAGCAGCTATCACCACTGCTGTTCTGTTTCATGATGAGAAAATGCATGTCGTGTGAAGTCGTGGCCGGCGAGCCAAGGCGACCTCCAAATTGCTAGCAGGACTCCACTGTGCTTCGTGCTCTGTGGCGATCACCTCTCAAAGACCACATCCTGTGGAAGGGCAAGGGGTGAGGCAATTCTGCCAGTGTATGCTTTCCCGAGCCCCCAGGCAATGTTGCACTGGACTGGTGCTCCAGCACATGCGAACTGTGGCCTAATGCTGCGTGGAGCAGCTCTTAGCCATGCTGGTAAGATAGGTGGCCCACCATCCAGCACCGAATTGTGACGACCGTCCACGGCAAGGCTTTCTGCACCGTTTTGAGACTATCACCATTCATAGCCCTCGAAACTGGGACGGCCTGGCCTGCAGTGGCCGCTGGATGGGCCCTGTGCTGCCACGTGATGATTGTGTGCCATTCGCTGCGTAGGGCTGGTCATAAAGAACTCCAGTTTATTGCAGGGTAGCATGCTCACCTGCTACTCGTGTGCGATGCACATTGATCACATATTCAGTCCAGTGGAAAAAGGATGCTCGTTCCCTGGAGCAGGATGTATGAAATGTAAACATCCATGCACATGCGTGCCGATGTCGGCGGTGGGCTCACTGTGGGGTATTTCACTTGTGAGAATGATATGGTCGAATGTAGAGACTGGACGTGTCTGTTGTAGAGACATACGTGTCCCGTGTATGCCAGTGAATACAGTCGCTGTGCCTCGATTAACGAATTGAACCAAGGGCAGACGGGGCTGCGGGTTACCACAAGGGGCCAGCGGTGAATCTCGCTTCACACTGGGCACTGGCCAGGGGACACCTGGAATACTCATTTGTGACGGGATGTCTGAATTGCGTTGCTTGGTCGCCGATCCTGGTCCGAGAATGAGCCATGTGAATTGCCTTTCGTCGTCCTTGCCGCAACCCAAGTGGACGACACCCGAGCGAGTGTAGTTCCCGGAAATGAAGGTTTGCGGTGCGGCTCAATGTCGCATACTGTGGTGCATGGGGGCCTGTTTCACGCGCCTCCACAGAGAATTGCACCCAGTGGTGGCGACTCCCATGCGGAGGCTGGCAATCCCCACAATGGAATAGCCCATTGCTTGCCCATGGTGCTCATATTTCTTGAGAAGACTGACAAACAGGAGGGTGGCCGGACGAAAGAGATTGCCGCCCGCCATGGGTTCCTTAGCAGTTCAGTTGGCCATTCTGAAGAATGTCATCGTGTTTTTGCACTCTAGACTTTCCTTTGTTGCCCTGGATGCTGTGCGCTTGTCCTGTGGACCGAATCTCAAGCACTAAAGCAGAACCACTCACGGTCGCGTGGCCACCTTTGACATCCCTTCTGCAAACAATGACATTGTCTGCTCCAGACAATGCAGCGCTCCATTCGGAATTTGAGACATCAGTATCGTTGACCGGTATCTAATGCGGTCGAAGGGGTATTGAGGCAGCCTGAAGTACGAGGACCTACATGTCTAAAATGAGAAGCATGTCGCACATTGAGCAGACCCGCTTGCGAATGAGCACACGAGGCGCCATGCTGCCCTGTTCAATTGGCTTGCGGTTCCGAATGCTGGAGAACAGCGCACCATCGAGAAAACAAAGCACGTGGGCAAAGGCGGCACCCACAGGCAAATGCGTCGAGTTTTTTCAGAACCATGAAGGCAGTGTGGATCTGTGGCCCCGCCGCCATAAGTTCAGAGTGAGAGGAAACAAACAAACTGAAGCGAAAGCTAGGGATGGAAGTGCGACTGTCGCCACCGCCATCGTCCAAGGGCCATGCATCGCCATGCACTGAGATGCGCATCAAATAGGAGCGACAAAACCACAGCCAGCGAACCCCAAGCAACACCGAACAGAGCTGGTGATGCATTATGCAAGAACAGTCTTGAACTTTACAACAATGCAGTCAGCACGATCCGCATCCACAAGCACTGGCCAAGGGCTGGCTTCGAAGTGCACAAGTGGTTTGAAATCCCAGAAAAGTGCTCGATCTGAACCTTCCCCGCTCATCCTACACTTGTTCCCATAACGACCCTGGGGCAAATGCAGCTGATGTTCCGTGCCGCAAGTTATTTGTGTCGGCAGGAAGCACACAGCCAAAGCGGAAACGCTCCCCTTGAGGCAGGGCATTTTAGGTCCTAAGGGCAAAGGTCCAACTTCTCATGCCCAAATCTACATGCATGCGCACACACTACATGAACTGTGTAAATAGCACACAGGGCATGGCCCAGCACCAGGGGAACCCCCAAACTCCTCTACTCAGCGCCATCGTCGTCAAAAGGGGAGTCCACAGCAATCACCACGACAAGAATCGCTGGCACGATGACTGTGATCGTGATTATGATGCAGGTCACCAAACTGACCCATCCCGCCATTTTTTCGCTCTCTTTTCTAGAGCGTATTCCGCATGCACCGCCAACCCAGATAGGCGGGAACAGGAACACCCATCCTAGGATGTACAGCAACCAGTAGAAGTTCCAACATTTTTCTGGTTGTGGTTGTTGAAGAATGGGTTGCGCCTGGGCAAAAAGGAGAAGGGGGTCAAGCCAACAGTGAATAGAAAGGAGCAACACCTACCCGTCACACACAAGCAAGAAACAAGAAGATCAGACAAGAAGTCCTGGTTGTGCAGTTTGCAGGGCCCACATCGCACAATCCCCTCTTTGAGACATTGCTAGATACATAAGCAAACATGCGCATCATGCACCCTTGCCAGAGAGCTCTTTTATCAAAATTGTCACCTTCCCCTGGGTGCTAAACTAAACAGCGATAAAATGGACCAGATGGAAATGTGGGCTGCTCCCCAGCAGTTGCGGAATCGAGGCTTGTCAGCAGACGCACAGATCTGCACCCTATATCTGATCCATGTGCCACAGCAGCTTCTTCCAGCTGCTGCAGTTGCACATTAGTCTTGCGATGCCAGACACAGTTGAGCAGGCACAATGGCACCACTGACTGCTGTCGCACTGCCTGTTGTTGCTTGCGGTCAGCAAGTCCATGCCCACCCCCACCCCTGCCTCGCCCTTGCCCACCCCGCACACAGAGCAGACACAAACCAGGCACACCAAACACAGGGTGCCGCAAACTCGTGTGCCAACATCTCACAGCCCATTTTGCCTCAAAGATCAGCAGCTGTGTCCTTGCATCCACCCAAAAGCGAGGCCCCCGTCCGCACACATGATCCATCCACAGGCGAAAGAATTTATGACACCCGGGACACGGAAACCCGAAGCCAACAGTGCACCGCAGGCCTCAAGAACTCACCTGCAGAGCGTACACGGGGTTAGCAACCACCTGGTAGGGATCCTGGTACGACCTGGTGGAGTCCCCCGGTGTGTTGCGCTCGCTGTCGCGGTGGCTAGCGCTCTGCGGCGAGGCAGTCTCCTCCGCACCAAATTTGCATTCGCCTTCTGTCTTCAGCAGTGAAGCGCCCTGCGGTGCACCGCAGGCGAGATGTGAGCTACACTCCCCACAATGCGACCCCGAGGATAAAGGCAGGCTGCGAGGGCCGCTGCTTAGCGCTTGCCACGCCTGCCATGCCGTCAGGTACAGCCAGCGACCTTTGAGTACCCAACAGAACTACGATTCTGCGCCCCAGCGGACAGATTCCCGCGATGAGGGCCCGGGCCCAGATGCGGCACGGCACCGAAGCCGAGATGCGCCAGTCCACGCGCCAGGAGGGCTCCGCGGGAAGATTTCCTACCCGCACTTGGGATGGCCGCAGGTCACCCTGATCCTCCGCGAACTTCTCACCACCACCGGCCTGGGTAGCCACAGACCCCAATCGTCAGCCAAACGAGGCCGCCGTGCCCATTGACAATCCGCCCACCGGCCTACGTCCCCGCGGCCGGACCGCCGGGCCGGAGCGGCCACACACCGCGGGCGAGCGGCGGCCTGAGACCGGCGACATCTGCCAAAGCGGCATGCCACTGCCCAGCACCACCCAACGCCCTCCCCAAGGGCATCGCCACAAGCTCGCTCTGCGAAGAAAAAGGGGAAGCGGCTTCTCTCCCGGCCGGCGTCCGCGGCGTGGGGCCGATTCGGCGTTTGCGCGGGACGACAGCCAGCACGTGGCCGAGCAATCCGCCACCACCGCCCCCGCGGCCTCGCGATCGGGGAGGCATGCCGACCGCGGCGTAGAATCTGAGGCGCTAAGGCGGGTGGGCCGCAGTCGGGAAGGGCACGAGCGCGTGGCAGGTGCCAGGAAGAGCGGGAGCCTGGATGGGCTGGGCGTGGCACAGATTTTGCAAGGAGGTGAGTAGGGGAGGGCCGCTCGTACCATGGCTGGACGGTGTCGGGCGTCCTCAGTGGGTGGCGGCGGACGACAGGGGGCAATCTGCGGCGACGGGTTCGGAACGGGGCAGGAGGGGCGCCAGCGGCGCCGCGGGTGCCACCGGCTGGCGCTCCTTGCCCTGGCCGAAGAGGCTGGCAAGGCTGGGGAGGACTTTGCGTGATCAGCTTCCGCATGACTGGTGGGGGCCGTGGCTGTCAATGGGTTTTGCGATAATTAAGTAGTTATAATGCTGAATTCAGGGAGAGCGGGGAAATGGAGCTGTTGAAGGCGTTTTCACAGGCGTGCTGCAGAA